CCGACAGGCCTGGGGCTAAAGACTCGCTGCCCCACTTCAAATGGTATGATTGTTGTGTTTTTAACTATGCATGGTTTTTATGTTTGTTACTTTGTTTGTATTTCCCCTCCTTTTGAATTGTGAGCCGCCCTGAGTCCCTTCAGGGAAAAGGGCGGCATACAAATAAAGAAATCTAAATCTAATCTAAATCTAAATCTACTAAAACAAATGTTTATCTGGATATTTCTTTATCAGAAAGGCAGAAATGTAATACCAAATAGAGAAGAGTTAAGAGAAAGGAGGACTAACTTAATATGCATAAAAGCATAGCTTTTATAGCATAGCTATATAGCATAGCATAGCTATTTTGCATTATACAGTTTTTTCTGTTTGGTTGTCACTGCAACAATGTTGCTGAGCTAGTTGAGTGTTATTGGATTAATTGGTATCAAATATAAACTTCAGTATCTTGCTTGTTCCTTTCCAGTTTACATTGCATAGCAGTAAATATTGCATGGCTCATTATTATTTAGTAAGAAGACACATAGTATGCTATATTTATCAAGAGTACTTATTCCTGTCCCAAGTTTTGTAAAGAGTAAATATTATACTCTTATGCAGATTTTTCCCCATTATTTCCTTTGTAGTGCATTTTTGGGACCAAAAGATATATTTCCCTATACTGAAAATAAAGACAAATATGGCAAGCTAAATAAAAGGAAGGGCTTTAATGAAGGATTGTGGGAAATTGAGAACAATCCCAAAGTTAAATTTTCCAGTCAGCCGGTAAGTTATCTTATAATTTGATTTCTATTAATAATTTGCATCTCAAGATTTCTTTCAGAATATCCATGTTTCTATGTGCTATAATCCAAATTACTGGATAGATTATAGAAAAAGTAAATCTCAAAACATCTTCATTGTAGTTGAATAGACCAAGCTTACCAGAGTAGACCATAATAGCTACCCATTATATAGTCAAAAGCCAGTTCTCCTGTAACATCCATTATTACTGTTTTCCATAGGAAGCAATAGTTATAAAGGACTTCCAGCACCTATATGCTATTTGCAGTGATTGACATCTCACACAGTCATAAATATTTGTTCCCAGATATTGGAAATTTCTGCTTATTCTTGAGAGAAGGAATGTTCTGAAGATTTTAGAATGAAAGCCCTCTTTTTTCTATTCCCTGACAAAACAATTGAGAGATATAAGTATTATATGTATATCTCTCATTTCCAGGAGTATACAAAATATTCTAGAAACATTCTACATTGTGGAAATCGTTTAGAAACCAAAGTAGCACATAGAAAGAGTGATGGAGAAGCTTGATTCCATGTTTTCTATCATTAAAAATGTAATGTATGCCATACCATTGACATGGCAGTGATTTCCATAGTACAACAGTCATTACAATTAATTGAATTTTATGTTTCATTGAACTTAACATTTATCCTGCAAGCCTGAAAATATTAGGGTTTTTTTTCTGATGCAAGTTTTTAAAAATAATGTAATAACAATTTTAAGAGAACAATTGCTAAAATCCCACCCGGGGTAATTAACTCATTTAGTATTACCTAATTAAACTTAGTTCATTGTTACTTACTGAACAGCTATATTTAAATATTATGAGATGCTCTTAGACCATCCTCATGGTAAGGTGTTCCTAAGAGAGATGAGTGAAGAGAAGAAAGTTATAGTGTTTCTTTCTTTATTATATTTTTTTTAAATCTTGCCTTTGTAACTTTATAAGTACCTCAAAGCAGTAAACATTCATAATATTCCTTCCTCCTATTTTCCCCATAACAACCCTGGTTAGGCTGAGAGAGAGTGACTGGCCAAAAGTCCCACCTGACTCTTGTACCTAAGGCAGGCTTAGAACTCACAATCTCCTGGTTTCTAGGCCACGTTAACTGCCATCAACAATGTAGGCTCCCAGCTGAGTCATCCAACGCTTGATTATCATATCACCTAGCCAGCTAAAGCAGGCAGACACTTGAATTGGCAAAAATGGTATAGGAAGATGTTGGAGGTAATTGGTAATTTTACTGACAATTTTTAAGGCAACCTTCACCTGTATGGAGAATGTAATTGAAAAATCGCTCATTTAATTTTGCCAATAAAACTCTACGGATAGTATAAAATGACTAACAGATAGCATCAGATGATGGAGACCTTGTATCAGATGTTACTCAACATGCTACTAAGAGCTGGGGATATTAAAAAGTATGAACATGGGAAACCTTTACATAGTGAAAAATGAAATGACTAGTACACATTGACATCTTGGGTAGTAGCAAATTGAAATTAACTAGAATTGGATGTTTCTGTTTACCATACTGTATACATTGCCCTGAAATCAGATAAACCAGGAGTATCAAATTCAAGGCCCATGGGCTGGATCCAGCCCATAGGGTGCTTAGATCTTGCCTGCAGGGCCATCCTGGAAACAGTGATGGACTGGTCTGTGGTGCCTATTGCAGCTGAAAGCTGAGCTCATGAGGGTTGCCCGCAGCCCTCTGGAGTACTGTTTTCGCTGGAGGAGGGTTGCAGGAGGCCATCACAGCCGAAAACAGCTCATGTCGCCCCCAACATGAGTGACGTCGAGCTGATCATGCCCACCCTGGCCATGCCCCCCCCCCCCGATTCACCTGAGGTCAAACACACAACCCTGATGTGCAATATAAAATATTTATATGGACATTCTTTTAACCGACAAGAATGGAAAATATTGTTGCACTTTTTTTCCAGTATCTATTGCTCAGTTACTTACATTTTCGCATTTTTTCAGTCTCAGCCATCAATTAACACTACAGTTGTTAAAGAAACAGATCAAGAAGAAAGCATAGACACTACAGAAGAAAATGAACAAAAAATGGGTCCCAAGCGAAGAAAATTAACAGCTCTTATTAAAGTAAGTGATTTTAAAGTTTTAAGGAGCTGAATGCCTATGGAGATTCTTAATCATCCAGGTCATGGTTGTCCCAAATGTGCTTTTTCAATAGGCAACTGGACTTCTGAAACATCTGATTGTTCTTTGAAGACCTTTCGCTTCTCATCTAAGAAGCTTCCCCAAAAAGTCCAGTTACTCTTGGAGGGGGGGGGGCATCTTTGGGACAACCATGACCCGGATGACTGAGAATCTCCATAAATACAGTCTTGTGGCTGCAGTCAACATCTTCCTACAATAGCTCCATAGTTTAAAAGAGACATGGTGATTGTAATGAATTACAGACAGGTGCTGTTTTGTATACTTACACATTCTGAAGCATTCAATTTTAATTTCAAGCCTTGTATACTCTACTGCTTTCAAGTTTGCTGAAAACCAAATCAAATAAGAACACAATGAAGGCACTTTAAGTTTGCTAAAAAAACATTTTTAATGGAAGATGCCTATACAGTATATACAAGTGCAGCCAGGTATGGAAAATACACACTAAGTAAAAGGTTAAGTGAAGAAGTGTGAATGAATCATCTTATAACTTATAGTCAAGTCTATCCAGTAAAGGAAGAAATTTATAATAGAACCTGAGGCAACAAGAAATAAACATATGCACATCAAAAGGAAATAGGCCCTAAAATGTACTTCTTATAGAGATTGGAGGATCTTTACAACAGTTTTGGAGCACTAGAAGTTTGTTAGCAGGGATTTGAGAAGAATTGATACAAGCGTGTCTTACTACAATTTTTTCTCCTTTTCTCCTACCACTCAAAATTTCCATTTCTACAGAGGCACTATGATAGATAGCCTTGGTAGTTTGATTCAACCTAGACCTGGGGGAACTTTCCAAGTGCCCCTAGATCCTCACTATGGATAGCACAGTATTATTTATTGTCTCTCTGCTTGTTCCCTGATTTCTCCTATCAGTCACATGGTAGCTGTCTTTTGACCAGTTGGCCGCCCATGCCACTTGCAATATCTGTGTTCTCTTCACAATCTTCCTTCCTGGGTTCTTCTTACTTCTATTCCCTACTTACAACCAAGAGATGGAGTAGTTCTGAACCTGTGGAAAGTAACAAATTTGACTCTGACACAACTATACAGTTTCAAAAGATTGCATTTCCAATTCTTGTAAAGTATGTACACTAAATCTTGAAGAACCCTTTCAAGGGGCAGCTGAGGCATATTCTTTGATTTTTGACTATATTATTGTTTTACACTCCTTAGAGGTTTTTAAAAAAATAAATAATAAAAGGGGGTTTTCCTTGGTGAACAAGGAAAGTCTTCAGAACCTGCTCAACTCTGTCAACTGATTCCTAGACTTCTGTGTCAAATGCTGTTGTGAACAAGAATATAGAAGGCACGCCAAAAGAAGATCTGAGTTAAGTGCATGCTGGACTGTTGGCATATCAAAGACTGTAGCTCACAAGACCATAAAAATATGCTTGGATATAGATACAACTGTTTAATAAGTACAAATGCACAATGCAGTTTAATAGGTATAATAGAGCCCTCAGCATTCTCATCAGTGGCTAATCAAACTGAAGAACGAAGACAAATAAAATTCCAAAGGAGATTTTCCAAATGAGAAATGGACTGAAGACAGCAGTGTGAAATACAGTAGAAGGAAAAATTACAAAAATTTTGGACAAGAAGGCTAAAATTGAGTAAAGGAACAGAAGTGGGAAAGCAATCAAAGAAGAAAAATCAAGATTTGAGTTTCCGTTTTATTAAATAATTAACTTTAATTGAATTCAGTTAGATTTACTTTCAAATAAATGTCAGCATCTTGGTCTATAATTGACTAAAGGGAAAAAATGAAAAGTACTTTGAGTACAGAACAACAGTATTAAGATAAAAGTTTGTTTATGAATAGCTTAATTTGCTTCTAAGAAATAAAATGAATGTCTAGTGAAGAGATGTGCTATTTGCTTTTCTTTAAATTAGCCTTATCTTCATACACATTGAGAACAGAATGAACATTAATATTGTTGCTTTTCAAAAGAGGTTTTGGTTACTGTGGATTACATAATCACTTTGTTTGAATCCTCTTTATATTCCTTACAGAGAAGTGGCTGTATCAGCCCTGTGATCTGAAATATTGCCTACAGGCAAAAAACTAAACAGTAGAAGCCCTTTTTTAGCAGCAGACGGCAAACATAAATATTGAAGAGATGAAGTTTTTGCTAACAGTGAAAACTAGAACATCTATCTTTAATTATTAACTGTTGATCACACCATTATAAGGATCTAATTATCCAACCTCATCAGTTTTATGTCCCTTATTACAACTATGCCCGGTGACTGCTCAGGAAAAAGATCTTGGGTTAATAATTGAGTGAAAATGACCACCTTATGCATACCTGTAAAAAGAAGGGATGGGGTTAAAGACAAATTCCATGCTAGAAATCATTGTAGGAAAATGTAAATATTGCTAGACTATATAAGAGTAATATAAATATGCAGCATAACTACAGGTGCAATGTTTTGTTCTGTTGTAGTAATTGAAGTTCATGTGAATGATAAGAAAAGGTTAATTAATGAACAGGCCAGCTGGTAGGGACTAGTAGCTGGTTTTGAGTGAGAGTTTGGATTTCTTAACTTTTATTTTTTTTATGCATGCATAACAGAGATGGGTTGCTCCTGGGAGGCTCCGCCCAGATACTTATGTGCAGAAGTGTCATGGGAGCGCGCCCAAACCAGTAGTAAAAAAATGGGCAACCCATCACTGATGCGTAACATATTTGGAGAGTTCAAATAGCTCACTGAACCATAATCTAGTAAGCACATTTTAAGTCATTCTCTTGTACAAAAATAGCACATACCGTTTATGCTCACTGTGTTGTAAGAATCCTTAAATGGAATTATTAAAGTGAAGTATTAATTTCAGATTATGTGATCTGTCACTTAAACATTGCTTCATTGAATATGTTAAGCTTGTTGGTCAAAATATATAGGAGTGTATCTATAAACAGGATTAACCCTTTCTCTATCCTCTTTTCAGTTTACTTCTTTTTATTACAATGAGTTGAAACTCAACCTCAGCTGGCAAACAGAATTTTTTTTCTGCAATTGCATGAATCTATTTTTTTCCAAAATTTGGGCCAGTTTTCTGTGTTTGCCTGAAGTGTTGGCATGATTATTCAAAGGACTTCAATCATTTATTTGGAGCTAGATTAAAAAAAAGAAATCCCAAGTAAAGGGAAGGAAGAAAAATTGATAATTGTAAACAGTGTTAGAAGGCGGGGAAAATGAAATGCCTGTTTTCTGTGTGGGATATTGTTATAGGATTGTTTTGAAAATGTGGGACTATGTGCATACTGTAATTATAACACTTGCTTGTGGCTTTTTTCCATAGCTTTTTAATCTGTGAAACTTTTAAAAGTCTGCACCTGCTGTGGCAGTAGCAGGAGGTTCAACTTGTCTCCAGCATTTCCTGTAATGTAACCTTGTGTCATCAATGCTGCAGCTATGGGAAAGTTAGGGCTGAGTGTTGAAGTTTGAAGTAGTGATTGTATTTGTACAATATGATAATTTACATCTTGTTTACAAACAGCAATAGTTCAAACCAAAAGTAGATGCTAAAAACTACCCTTCAATATTGCTTGTTTCATTTTACCTTAGCTTATGCAAACTCACTATAGTTTCTTCAAAATAATGATTTAATTTATATACAAGCCAGGTCAGTATCTTGCAGGAAAGTCTTTGTTATCTTTTCCACTCCCTTTTCAAAGTACTACCATGTGAGCAATCTGTAATTTCAAAAAAAAAAATCATGTACCATTGTTATATGGAGAAAGCAAATAGACTATCTTTGTTCGGATGAGAAATAAGTATTGTATAAAAATTATACTTTGTATATAATAAGCATGATTAACCAAAATATAATAAGCAATATAAGAATGAAAAGAGATAGCAAATGCCAAAAAACCTGATAATGCGAAGAATGTATCCTTGATGCTGTTCTTCCTAGTGGTTCATTGAGGGAGTGATTCTATAAACAAGCTCCAAGAGAAAGATCAATTTTGCCTTGATATGTACAATAATTAGAGCAACTTAAAAATCAAAATGTAGTTTAGAGAGGATAGTAATGCTGATACTTCATAAAATTTTATCTGGGCTTCCAGCTCTTGAAACTTGAATGTGTGCATTTGATTTCAATATCACATCAACTTTTAAATGCATACTGTCTCATACGTATTTCCTCTGGTAATATTTTCCCTTGGAATCTCAAAAATATGGTTGCAGACTTTTGTATATGTATATATGTGTATATTTATTATATTTGGTTGTTATTAGCAAACATATAATCTGACTATGGATTAGGGGATTAGAAAAAAAATATTTCAATTTCATATTTTAAAAAAGGCTTTGTACTTTGCCCCAGGCCATAGTTTAGCTATAATTTATTGAACAAATAGCTGGTAGCCTGTATATAAATGGATTTAGTGGAATAAAATGCAACTGGCTACAATTTAGCAAGTAATACCATGTGCCAAACTAAAACTAAACAATCACATAGTGGTTCAATATGTGAATTTAACCAAACGATTGTTAAATATTTGTGCAACTCAGGTTAATTGTTATATGATTATTATATAATTAATTTAAATATCAAAATAATAGTTGAGTAAATCTAAAGATGTGCGTCATTGGTTTGAAGATTAAAAAGACTTAATTTTGTTTTCAGACAAGGGCAATCATACTCAAGGAAGAATTAATTCTGAGTGTAGGCATTATTGAGTTTAATAGATGATAATTCAGCAGCTTTTACAAGCCACTTGAAAATGTGAGACAAAATAGGATTTGTTGGTTTCACTTAACCTATTGTCTAGTGAATACCAGAATGGGAGGTTCAGCCTTAATGTCTTTAAATATTAATTAGATAGTATACATAATTTTGTAAGTTCCATCTCTCATATGTTGAACATCTGATGCATTCTCTGATAGCAACAATGGCCTTTTTGCAGAACAAAGAAGTTGAAATGAGGATATTCAAGAAAAAAATATTTTACATTTACCTGCTCCAAGTAAATATAAAAATGAGTTTTTAAAACATGACAAATATGTACTCCTTTATATTTGGGCATGTTTATTTATCCCTTCTGAAAATTAAGACGGATTGATAGAATATAAGAATAAGAGCTATTTTGACCATGTTCGTAAAAAAATATTCTGATGTCTTGTTCTCAGGGATCTGCCAAACCAGACAATGAAACTTCTGAAGCTGAAATTGAAGAAAAGGAACTGGAAACTTTAAAAGATGATGATTCTCCAGAAAAACCTAGCAGTGAAGTATGTTGATGTAAAGCATTTGAATTATTCTGCATTTTATTGCATTCTAATTCACACAATATGAAAAATTGGGATTTTTCATTCACTCATACTTACAGCTCTGCTATTTCTCAAAGAAAATCACCAAATGATATTACATATTCATTGATTGATAGATTCAGAAAATGATACATTGAAGGTTAGTTAAAATTATTTTAGAGCAGATATACTTAGGTTTTCTTAATAGTAAATTGGTTAAAAGTGGTAATTAGAACAATGTGACTACAAACTGCTTCTGAAACTTTTGTTGTCAAACTTGCTTAAATATCCTCAAGTACTTTGCTGATTCTTTGAATTCTAAGTGTTATTTTGGGAGGAATATTAGTCAAGCAGAGGCTATTAATAATCAGTATATATATTTATTGCAAATAGCACTGCAAATTGATTTAAATTAATAACTGCTTTGGTGTAGATTTTTTGGTAAATTTGATTGCAGTTTTTGTTTTATGTTAAAATGTTAGTTTGAGTATTAAGAACTCAAAAGTTCAGTAATTCAGAATGATTTTAATAATGTTCTTATCCATAGGATATGAATAAAACAAGTGATACGTCAGTCCCTAAAGTTGCTAGAAGGGGGAGAAAAAGAAAGGTAATACTTATTAACTTATACAGATATATTACGATGTCGATTTTATTTCAAACAATAAATATATACTTTAAATAAAGAATACTCTTTCAGAATATTTTGCTAGGCTATGGCATTTATAAGATTGCTCTTATAAATAAAGTAAATATATTTTTCCACAAGGAGCATGAAAAGTTAGTTTGTCTGAAAAATAAGGGTCATTCAGTTCACAAAAATGACTTTAAATAGGCATGGATCTTTAAACTAGCAAAGACATCTTACTTTTCTCTTTAGTTTTCTTTTCACCTACTTCAAAACATGAACAGATTATAGAAGCAAGAGAGACAAACTGAGAATTATTCTACCCCATATTAATAAGCACTGGAATCTTCCATTTTGTTTCTTCTCATACTCAAAAAACCTATGGTGGTCTCCTAGTGGGTAGAAATTTCTGCTTTTCTGCTCCCAGGCTGCCACTTCATTTAAATCAATGAACTGTGTCAAATGTTTTTTAAGTCAAATATATTATATCCTTTCTGAAAGGAGGAAACAAGATGTTTCTTGCATGATTATTTTTGACAAAACCATTTTGGTTCTTAAAATTATAACATTGTCTTCAGTGTGTTTCCAAGTGGTTTATTTTATTACTTGCTCCAACATCTTCCTAAGGATTATTGGGATTGTGTTTTCATTTCTTGAAGAAAGGGGCTGCCCTTGAAGAGCATCTGGAAGTTCTAGTTGGTGCAAAATGCAATGGCACACATGGTTTGCATTTTGTTAATTTTGCTAGTATTTTCCAAAGTTTGAAAAGAAATAAAACAGTAACTCATTTTTAAGTAATTTTCCATTTGGAACCAGTAGTATAATTCTGTCAAGTTTACGTAAATACATTATTTTAACACAGGCTGAAAAACAGGCAGAAGTAGAAGAAGCAGCAGTGGTGGTGGCAGGAGCAACAGCAACAATTACAGCTCCAAAAGCTAGTCCTAAAAGAGGAAGGCCTGCTGGTGAGTTATAACACATAAAGCATTCTTAAAAGGGAAAGAAAGCAACAGAAATTTTGATACATGCATTCTGCTAGGCATTATACTCTGTTCCTTAGTATTGCTTGATAATAAGCATTAGTGAATTTATTTGCAAAGCAAATAATATTTGTGATTGAAAAAAATCAAACAAGGCTTTTTCATATTGGATTTTAAAAATTAAATTGAATTAAATTAAATGGACTGCATTGAATGAAGATGAATTATCTTGGGCCATATATATAATATATAATTAATGTATATAAATAACAAACTTCATTACTGCTAGCTATCCAGGGCCGTGTGCATCCTTGAGCTGCAGGTTTGGCATGCCTGCCTTAGTTCATAAAGCTATACAGTATTTTTATACCACTAGACTCCTGTAAGACCTAAATTTGTGTGGGTGAGAATACGTGGTCAGTTTATTACTTAAATATTGAGCTGAGAATTCTCTGGAACAGGAAGCAGATAGCCAAAAATATGTGGACTCAGATGGATGGGAGGAAAAGGCCTAGAATTTTAAACTTGAAGAAAATACATATAGCTAGATTTTGTAGGAGCCAGATATTTTGTTAATATGACTTCTCTTCAGTAAATCACCTTATGTAACTCTAATGTTTAAAAGCTTCTGTTGCAAGCAAACTCCTGAATAAAGGGTGGAATCTATGAAGAGTCAACATTTATTTTCATATCTAGTATAAAATGTATATACTTGTGTTCATTAATAGCTATATTTATGTAATACAAGAAGAGTAACAGCAGTTTGGTCTATCTTTAAATCATTATTAGTTTGCTTTGTTTTATAAGCATCTTGGTTTAAAATATATTTTGAAAAATTGTCTTCTAATAGGAATTATTCTAATGAAGGAATTGCATTTTAAATAAAATTAAGTTTATGAGATATATTCTAATAAGTATGCTTTATTAACTTATTAATAGTTAAATTTTGTCTTTGGACAAATACTGTTATTGAAAGTTAATACAGTTAATTAAATCATTTTTAAATGACACTAGCTACTGAAATAAAAGTTCCGAAACCAAGAGGGAGACCCAAATTGATAAAACCACATTGTCCTCCAGAGGGTGACAGGTAAGCTTATTTTTAAATGTTGCTGTTTGTTCTATAGCGATATGAATATACCATGCTTAAGTGTAGATATTGTATAGAATTCTATGCATTGGATCTAGATTTAGCTGCCTTAATGAGGCTGAAATGCATATTGTTACAAAATATATATATAATTCATTGTTATCCACTATTTCTTTCTCACATGTAGAGAATTAATCCCATACAATTTTCATATAGATTGTAACCTTAAGCATTCTTTTAGAACTCCCAATAACTTTTAGTGCTTGAAAGCATTCTTGGCAGGCTTTGTTGGTTAGAAATTTGAATCACTGCTTTCGTAGTTGACTGCTTCCAAAAGCTGTTATTACAGATCCTTGAAAAATCTAAATGTGTCATCTTCCTAGTTACCTATTTACCTATTTGTATCTACATTAGAGTTTTGCCATACTTCATGGATCTGCTTTAGAGGAATTTCCATCTCATTTAATACAGCAACCAGATCTCTAGGTTTAGGTTTAGGTTTTAGGTTTTATTAGCATTTGTAGGCCGCCCTTTTCCCTGAGGGGACTCAGGGCGGCTCACAGAAAACCAGGGAGAGG